GTGGTAAAGAGGAAAAAAAATGGCGGGTAAGTTTTAGTATAAATACTGAACTTTTCCCATTACAGTGCATCGAATCAGGCTTAATTTTTAAAATGATCACTTTGCTCATATTGGATTACGTGCTTGTTTTTCTTCAAAAATCCGTTCCCATGAACTTCGGTAGCCTTTAAAAAGTCAGCTCCATTGAAAGCAAAACACAAGTTTTCTGATCTTGCTTCTAGTATTTTGCTTCTTCTAACTTCCAAGAATGATATTTTTGAAAGCTAAAACTAGCTACGCATCCAGATTGAAAACCATAGCCGTTGTGGCTGGCATATCTTAATGATGAAGATATCTGAGAATTTCAAATCTAGGGCAAGTTTTATTCAAATTGATTGAAAACATATCTTCGAAAGGGCACAGAATCTAATCAAAGACTTTCATAAATATGCGACAGAAAAGTTAAGAGCAATTCTACAAGAGATTTATTCTTAGCATTACTAAAATTTCTGTTCAAGAACTGTTATTAAATTTGAATCACATTATCCAACAAACCTTTTACTCCAAACTAATCTTTTTACAATTCAATTAATTCTTTTGTTAAATTTCCAACAGCGAAACATTTTCCAATCAGATTTCATAACTCGTTGAAATTCTTTGAAGTATAATGTCGATGGTAAAACAAAAACAATAAAAAGAAGTATTGGTGGCAGAAATGAAATAAAATATCCAACCAAGTAAATAATAACGGATTCACGAGCTGATTTCATACATTCGACTAGAAACGCCAATAAGATACGAGGTAATGCTACAAGAATCAAAACCATAGGACTAATAATGAAAGATTTAAGTTTACGAAACTGAATATTTAAATGTTTATGAAATGAAACATTTTCTTCAGATTCAGATCGATTTTTGGCAATTAAAAGAATAAGTCCAAAAGCAGAAATTAGATTAATACCAAATGGACAAATAAAATGTATGACCGTGCTAATTGATGTATATTTATTCAGAAGAGTCGAATAAGAATTCGAATAACGAACAATGCACCAAATACGTTCTTCATCTTCATCATCGATTAGCACTCGATTGAGAGGTTCTTGAATTGATGTACCAGCCACAATGATACAAACAAACAGAATGATATATTTTGCCCACTTTTGGCTTAATTTATTATTAAAATGGACATCTTTCTGCTGAGTAATCAGACGCTCAATTGCTACACAAGCATATAACCAATCTCCAATTTGTAAAAGAATTTTAAGAAAAAAATCTAATATCAAACATTGACCGAGTATAAATGTACGATTTCGTAACATGGTTAATTGAGTAAAAACAAGAAAAAAGTATTTCAAAGTAAACATTGTCATTGTAAGAATAGAAATGATTGCAGCAGTAAATAAATAAATTACGCATCCAACCGTACGAAGACGTTTCTGTTGAAAAGTAATTATCGAGACAAAAGCGTTAAAAAGACCAAATACAAGCATTATAATAGTAATCACACCACTAATAATTAATGGTAATGGTTGACGACTAAAAGCAAGTTTTGGTCGAATCTGGTAACCAAGAATGACATCAAGTGTTAGACCGAAACCTCGCGTAGATAATTGACAACGACTACCCAAGTAACACTTTGGACAAGCACATATAGCAGCTGTCGGACATTTAGCATTATTTTGAAAGCATTGACCATTATTTTCACAATATGATAGTTGTTGACAATTGTATTGCATATGATGATCAAAGGTAAAGCAGTTCGCTCGACGATCATGTGTACATAAACAAATAAATTGATCTGAATCATGAAAACATTCGAGATCAGGTCGTTCTTGACATGGAATATGATAATATTTGACTCGATGAAGACGTGGATAATTTACAATATTTCTATTCAATAGTTCGTCTACAGATGGACATCGTTGATGCGGTTGTAATTTAATTGATAGATAAGCCGAACTATTATAATTTAATTGAATAAAAACTAAATATATTTGATTATCATATTCGACAAATATAAGATGAAATGGATTTGACCAATAGACTGTAACAATATCACTATCAAAAGGAATTCGTTTGAATGTAGTAGAACGTTCATGAGGACCCCATTTATTGCTTGACAGATATTGAATAGTAGGCATATGGGAGTTAACAGTAATAAAATGTATCAAGAGTGAGTCTTCGATTACAGGCATTGCGATCAATATATCAACTCGTGTATCATTCAATTGACATTCATCGCCAAAAAATCTTTCTGAACATGAACATATCGTTCTATCATCAACAAGAATTCGTGGATCACGCGGAATACATGTACCTTTATTTCTACATTTTTTAGCATTTTTTTCTTGACACAAATCATTTGTTAAATAGCAACGTTTGCCATATTTATGTGTTGGGCATACACAGATAGACTGATTTTTCCAAGTACCAACGCAAAGTGAATCTGGAGAACAATTACATTGATACGGTATTGTACATAATGGGCCCGACCAACCTGCTTCACATTGACAAAAATATTTACCACTATATAAGAATGAAGCACATCGACCATGGCCTTTGTTACATTTAAGTGGACAAGTAACTTCTGATGAAGCACTAATAAATGGCACTGTTAATTGAATTGGTAAACGATTAACTGGTAGAAAAGAAAATATTATTGGAAATGACCAACTAGCACGATATTTAACTTTTAACATGTCGAACACATCAATGCGAACTGAATAACTTTGATGTAATGGTTTCGGTCGAAAAGAATAGAGTAAATGAAAATTGAATTTTTTTCTACAATCTCGTATCGATAAATATCTTATATAATGATATGAATTGATTATTTCAAAAGTATAATCCATAAGATAGACAATAAAAACAAATGGAGTGCGCCATTCAGGAGCTCCTATTTGCAAAGTGACACTAACACGCTGATTTTGATATTCACAGAATGAACCATACAGAATCGGTGGACATAAGCACCTGATATAACCTTGAAAATAAATTGGGATGCCACCACGACATGGAAACTCAGTTAATGAGACTTGACGTTCACTAACAAGAATCAATTGGTTACGCTCGAGAACATTCGTTGATAAGGCTCTTTTAGATAAAAACGGTGATGATGAAGGTACAAATAGTGGTGGAACAATACTGTAGTTAGCTAGTGAAAAATGTTGAGATTTGCCTAATTTTGTTAGGGAAAGTCTGTAGAAGTTATCAAGGGTGCAAATAATATTTTCTTTTTTTATTTGACGGATTGATCCCCAAAAGACTTCACACTGC